TTAACTTATAATACTGCGATTATAAACATACCAAACTTAACACTAACTTGGCTTTTGGAGTCAATAGGGTACACATACATAAATAAATACATACGAATTCGAGCAACAGGTACACTAGTATAGATAAATTAAATAAACCATCTGTTTACAACATTAAATGTGAACTCAAAGCAAAGTTAATATTTATCCACAAATCTAGGGAATTAAAACGCGTTGTTTTAAGATTGACTGGGGATAAAAAGTAAACAGGACACAAACACATTATATATAAATAAATATATGTATATGTACGTGTATATAAATTGCAAACATATCAATTATTTAAACATAACACAAAACAACACATAGGCCTGGGAAGGCAGGTGGTTGGTTTGACGTGACGGCGATTATTTGAACTCCTTCAATGTGAGGGACGCAATAGTTCATACTTTTGGACCAAACGAACTCGTATTAGAGTGTTGGACCAAACGAACTGTTTTACAACTTTTGGACCAAACGATTTTGGACCAAATGAAATACTCCCTAACTGGATGATAAAACGATTTTGGGCCAAACGAACTGTTTTACAACTGTTGGACCAAACGAACTGTTTTACAACTGTTGGACCAAACGAACTGTTTTACAACTGTTGGACCAAACGAACTGTTTTACAACTGTTGGACCAAACGAACTGTTTTACAACTGTTGGACCAAACGAACTGTTTTACAACTGTTGGACCAAACGAACTATTTTACAACTGTTGGACCAAACGAACTGTTTTACAACTGTTGGACCAAAAACGATTTTGGACCAAACGAACTGTTTTACAACTGTTGGACCAAACGAGTTTGGACCAAATGAAATACTCCCTCCGAGACCTAGTTGGCTTAAAATCCGATCCTACACTGCGGCCATACAGTGACGAGTCATCATCAGCGTAATTCTGTCGCCGATACTATAGCGAGCTGCTCTTTTAGCATATCTTTCTCCTTGGTACTATACCATGATAACCGCAGGGGGCTCACGCTTGCGTGGGTTCGTGGCCTGGGCGACCACGCGGACCCTAGCTCTCCCAGAGGGGAGGTAACTGCCCGGTGTCAGACCCGGCACTTCAGGTAGACCACAGTTATGGACGACTGGTAAGCGCCAGCCCCTTAGGGGGAGCCTCCAGTGACATTCCCTCCATTCAGGGTGGGGGGGGGTGTTTAGCTCTCAGTGACGCCGTTAATTCCGCCTCTCCTCAACTACCTGTAACTGTGGTTGTGACTGAGTCCTACCTGTTGTGTTCGACTGACATTTTGTGAGGCATATCCTCGACTTTGGAAGTAGCCTCGTCCTGGGAGGTGAAATACCTAGCCCCCAGAGGGGAGGTAAATGCTCCGTGTTGGTATCGGCATTTCAAGTTGGCCACAGACATGGTCGACTGGGCATCGGGTCCCAGTGACATTCCTTTATCCAGGATGGAGGGGTGTTTAGCTCTAGGAGAGATGGAAGTACATCATAATCTCTAACCTACCTGTGTCTGTGGTACTTTGGGCTTCGGCCTGCTTGTGGTGTGCGACCAGCATTCAGTGGGCAAATCCTCGACTTTGGAAGTAACCTTTCCTGGAGGTGAAAACGGGCAAGTACCCGCAGCTCACGGGGACACTCAAGGGCAACGTAACTTTCCGCAGTGTGAGGGCAACGGTTTGTAGGTACTTATGCAAACCTATCCCTGTCTCTGAGCACGGACGGTATGGTTATCTTGAGTGTGGGGGGTTCTTCCCGGAACCTCAATTGAGTCAAGGGTGTCGCCACCTCTGGTGGATAGGTTCATCCGGGTGGGTCCCACTTCTATACCTGCCTCCTTTTGGGAAACCCTGATGGCCTGGCAGTGATGTTGGGTCTGACGGGCAAACGAAGTAGATCGGGTGCTGGGTCCGAGCCCGCCAGGGGTATCTGGGGATCTATCGCTCTGGATATCTCTGGTTCCCAGCAATGGGTCAGGCCTCGATCGGGCAGCGGTGTAAATGGGAGGTTGGGGTTCCCCCCGTCAGCGTGCTGATGGTCCCCTTCCTCCTGGCTATTGATGGCGGGTTCTGCCTGTCAGGGATGAGATAGGTCCCGAGTGTTGCTTGCACTAAATGCGTCGGGGCGCTCTACTATGGACCTCTAGGTTCCGACCTAGTGGAACCCAGGTGGAGTGACGCTTAAACAAGCAGCCGGAATCCCTGGTTAGGATTGAGGGGCAACCCTCTTTCCGAAGGGTCTGCTTCGGCAGCCGGCGAGCCTGATGACCTTAAGTCATCCGCCCATGATGTGCTAAAGGTTGATGCGTAAGCTTCGGCCTACATCATGGGGCCCGGGTATGTCCTGTAGGATAGGTACCGGGTAAGCAGTCAGGGGGCTTCGGCTCTCATGACAACAAATAATAATAATAATAATAATAATAATAATAATATACCATGATGAGCCACTGATTACACAAATCTGTAGTTGATACTATGGCGAGCTCTTCATTGGCGTAAATCTGCTAGCCATACAATGGCGAGCACTTTATCAGCGTGCCGTAACTATGTCAGCAATACTATGGCGTCTGCTCATTAGTGCGACTGTCTTTGATACATAGCGAGCCACTAGCAACGTTTATCTTATTCTATCACATCGTGGCTCTTTAACAACGTATCTAAAGGTTAGAAACAACTTTTCGTATATTTTCTCTGAACTTCAACTTCTTTCACTTTACAGACAAGAGAGGTTTGTGGCGCATGATGTCATTGTTGTTTACTATTTTCTATAGTAGTATTAGGGTCAAATAGTTCTCAAGTGATAAAACAGTATTTATCTGTTATCTCTATTATCACGTGAGATGTGAGATTGGTCGGTTGCATGTTATTGTATTGTGCGTGTGGCCTTGGTATTGTTTGTCTATCTCTCTCTCTCTCTCTCTCTCTCTCTCCCCCCCCCCCCAAGAGTGAGGCATCCCTTGAATGATAACCAGCTCATATGTCTCTTTGTTGTTAAACATGTCTTGATTTTCGCCGTGTACTAACTATAAAATAAATATTAACTTTAAACCTACATTCCTCCTTCCTTCTTGACTTGAAACATAACATAAAAAAATAATTTCTGTCAATACAGTAAATGCAATTAAAAATATCTATCAATATAAATTTCAGGATTTCGGACAGTTATGTATAATATTAACCTTCAGATATTTGCAGTGTAAGTTTATCTAATTTGTATGCTTAATGTTTTAAATCAAAATAAAGTAACTTATGTGTTGTTCGTCGTTTGGTATTGTTTGGAATTAAAATGCCTTTGATTTAACTGATAAATTTAATCAAAGTAGATCAGTTATCCATACGTCCAGTCCATATCACAACAATCCGGAACAACGACTGGCTCCAGTCCAAAAATCACTCTTTTTAGCAGGAATAAATAAGAGATTGTCGATACTCATTTCATATTCAAGTTCACATAATGTTTGGGAAAGTGTGAAACATGTTTCAGATATCCGCTACAACACTATTTCAAAAGCTCATGGAACATTGGGCTTCCCTTGGCCGAGATTTTAGAAAAGCACTAAATATTTTGTTATTTAAAAATAATGTTTAAATTAATTTGTCAAATGTGTATTTTACACAGTAGGCTATATGAAGCAGATATGAAGACTATATCGAGTTTGAGTTTTGAGTGGATATATCCGTTTTGGGCCCCCCTGGTTTTCGAAGTGATGTCTGTCCGTGTGTTTGTGTGTGTTTGTGTATGTCTGTATGTGTGGATGTGTATAGAGCTACAGACCACACCTGTAGTCCGATTTAGATGAAATTTGGTATGCAGGTACTAATCCATGAGAATTTTTTATTTTTAATGGTGATTTTCACATAAAACCTATAAAATATCGGAATAATCAAATGTTCTCGAAAATGGCCCGAATGGTTTTGATAAACATTTAGTATGTTGTAGCCATTTAAATTGTGAACAAAATGGTACGATTCGCGTTTCTGTAAAAATTACGGTTCAAAAGTTATTGTTACTATTGTTATTTTCTCATAAAACCGGTTTTGATTAAAATTTGTATGTTATGGTTCTTATAATTCTAAACAAAATAGTGCAACCACCCCAACACTGTAATCATTATGGTTCAAAAGTTATTGAAACTTATGTTATTTTCCCATAAAACCTTGTAAAATAGTCCTAACGGGAAATAGGATTTATGAAAAAATCCGTTTTTCATAAAAGTTAGTATGTTATGGTCCTAATATAATTTAAAAAAAGGGCAACCCCCCATTGCAGTAAAAATTATTTAACAGTAAATGCAACTTGTTTTGCAGACGTTATAAAATATGATCCCACCGCTTACCCATCATAAAAGTTGATGACAAGCTAATGGGAGAAAGTATCTGTCAAATTGCTGGTACTGTTTATTCACTTTAAAATTAATTGTGATTTTCTAATACTATTTTTGTTCGAAGGCCTCCAAAGAGCTCCCATCTGACAGTATTTCAAATCTGACACCTTAGCGTCTTCTTTACTTGAACTATAGTAAACCTCCCCTATACGATGGTTTTAGTCTTGTAGTAGCTGATAACAATTAACAATGTAAGGAAAAATCAATGCAAATGATGAGCAACAAAAAAAATTATAAATCACAAATTTCTGTGGTTTAAGACATTATCCGCATTGAAATCACATGCCAGTTAACCCAAGTGAATTAAGGAAAGTGTTGAGACCTTTAAAATGTGCATATTGGGTGGAGATTGGAGACCTTGGTTTACAATCAACCCTTAAATACAACACAGATGTCTATAAGTTAAATGTGCATAACCGCTTTTAAAATTTAGGAACTGAGTCCATGCGAAACTTTAAATCATTTTTTTTTATTAACTATAAATCATTAGCACCTGTATGCAATTATAAAAGCAAATCATTGTGAAGAAATTACCACGTTGTCGGTTGTATAAACAATTGTCAATGCACAAATAAATAGAAAATGTTAGTGTGCAATTTAAGTGAGAATTGAAACTTTTGTTGACAGATCCTTGCCTCTATGTGTTACGTTATGCCAATAATCTGGAGTTTGGGGATAAGACTCATGAAGTGACCATGACGGCGCTGAGGCTAGTACAGAGGATGAAGAAAGACAACATTCACTATGGTCGCCGACCATCGGGCCTCTGTGGAGCAGGTAAGTCTAATAGAGATATGGGTCTAATATTCTAATATTCTATTAGATGGCCGTGTATTAAAGTGAAAATGTTTTATCTTCTAAATAATTCCCCATTACTTCTCTGCAACAGTGATAAAAAACTAGAGCTTCCCACTAAACAATTTTGTCTGCCTCTATCAATGTTAGGCGTGGCAATTTAGAAAATTTTATACTTATTTTACACTGATTGTCTTTTTTGATTAGATATGAACAAATACACACAGTACACTACCATGTGTACAATATACCACATTTTTTAATGTCTAATCGTAGTGTAAATATTTGTGCATTTTATTGGTTTAACTTCGACGGTGCTGCTTCAGCCGAGATCTACATGTGTCTGATGGTTGTATTGTGGTGTATTGTGTCAAACAATTACAGCTCTTGAGCTGATTAATGAAGGTAATAATGTATTACGTTACTACTCCTGAAAATAGGTGTTTACCGGACGAGTGTGGTCGTTCCCGTGCGAGACAAAGGCGAGTGCGGGATTACTATTTGAGGCCGGTAAACACATTTTGGACGAGTGACGTACAAAATTTTACACCACACTACTCTAAGATAACTTAACAATAAAATATCTGTACAAATCTTTATTCCCACCGACAAGAAGGACAAACAATCACTACTCATAACCTCTAAGATAGGTTATGTTTTTGTTTATAACCACTCATTGCCAAATATAATCAGCTGTTTGGTGTCAGGTAAAAACGCTTTACAGTACAGTAGTACGTAATGAACCCCATTAGATTAACCTAGTGTAAACAGCTGTTTTCTGGACTAAATCCTTGCGTGGGAAGTTCGTTAAAACCTTGTAGTGTGGCATAAAGCATAATTATTGTTTAAATGTGTTAAATGTTGCTTTCTTTAATTCAGACGTAATTGATTTCAGCTTTACTAATGGCAGCAAGATTACATGACTTCAACAGAACTGTTGGCGACATTGTAAAAATTGTTCATATTCATGAAAGCACCCTGAGGAAAAGGTAAATAGTATTCTAATTTCTTTAACAATATACATTTATCATTATGCTTTTGGTAAAATTTACTATTTCATTAGTTAAAATTTATTATTGTTCTCCATCATTCAAAGTTTTTTAATCTGTGGCTCCGTTGTGTATAATACATACATGAGTATCTTTGTATTTCTTTGTTTTAATAATGTTTTTCTGTCCTACTTCAGCATCACACTTGTATTTCCTTCTAGTCCTTCAGTTAGGTTTTTGTAGAAGTCTTTATGCTACATGTTTTTTTGTTCCAGTATATCCAAGCCTGCTTATCTTGATTTTCTTAGCAAACGTCTAGGGCCCGAGATAGTCACTTAAGCTGTATGCTGTAAGGCATTGAAGAAGAATTTTTAAAATGAATATAAAAGGGTAGTAAATCAAAAATTTAATATAATACTGTTACTTTTAAACTCTGTACCAAATTGTAATATTTTTCAACCAAGACAAGGCCAATGCAGCTATTTATTTGCATCATAAGACATAAGGTTGGAATCAATGTACTCGGAATTGACTTTTAACATCGATCCATCCCTATTTTCTAGTTTCTTTACCATTATAGTAATTTGTATTTGATCCATAGATTGGTTGAGTTTGGAGAGACACCGTCTAGTTCGCTCACATTGGATGAGTTTATGAACGTAGACCTAGAGGAGGAACAGGACCCTCCTTCGTACAAGGCAGCGAGAGCCAAAGACAGAGAGAGGGCTGAGCGGCTGCAGAAGATGATAGATGATATGGAGACTGAGAGCTCCTCCAGCTCTCAGATATCACAGCTCCAACGGGAAATAGAGAGGAAACTAGAAGAAAGGAGAGCTCTCAAACGGCCAGTTTTGAGTGAAAAGAACCTAAGTTTAACATCGAGTACAGATGGAGGAAGTGGTATGTTGTCTTCAAAATCAAATGTACGGTATTATAAGTTTATCATACATAGCAAAGCAATGCATAAGTTCAGGTACTTTTGAAAATCTTAGTCTAAAGATGACAACCTTTTTGAGTTAGAACACTAATAACTGACATATTTTATGTGTTTCAGACAACGAGGGGGGGGGGGGGCGACTTTGGGCGCTGCAGCCATAACATTTTATTCTCATAGGTTTAAAAGTTAATACTCAACAACCAAATAAACATTTGTTTACCAATAGTCATTCATGTACATTTAAATGTCCTGGAGTACAACCTTCAACACCTGTCATATTCCTACAGGGAAATTCATTGAAAAATATAATTGCTTTGCCTTATTACACTCTCTACCTCCAACTCTCCATCTAGTTAATTCTGTAGGCCTAATGGTTGTCTCTTTCTAACAGGTTAACTTGTCAGTCACCCTTATAAAAACTTTACCTTTGTACACTTATAGAACACAGAGATAAGCTATATAATATAATGAATTTACAAGAACAATTACAGTTCAGTTGACATAGTGTGCAAAATAATTATTCCATTTCATATAATTTGCCATTAGCTCCAGTAATCTTTATCTTGTTCTATCCCTGCAGAACTTAATAAGGTTTGACTGTTTCGTAACAAACTTGTTTTTTTTTACAGTAGAAGAAGTAGATACGGACAAGTTTGTGACTCAATCTACACTAGGCGTCATACACGACTGTTTGACCACAGAGGATGCTGAGAAGGAAACAACACAACCTGTGGGATTAGGTACTAAACTGTTCTCTGTATCAGATACAAAAACAATGGATACAGTCTTTTGGACATGATGCTTTCTCAAGCATCATAACACACAAACTAAAATCGAAAACTGACTATAGCTGTTCAACTTAGTACAGCGTAGTAATATGGGTAGCTGAGTAGTTATAGTTCTCACCCAACAAATAAAAGTGTTACCAGTTTGATCTGTCCGTGATTATTAGACTTGTAATAAATAGTCCTGGCTAGACAAAAAGCTGTTCTTTGTCAGATACAAAATGCAATGCATATCATTCCTCACCCAACCTTCTTTTTCATTTGGTTTAAAATATGTCTAGTTGCATACCCAATAACTTTTCATCACTTTGTATAGGAAAATAATTCTTTTTCGTATAGCTCAGTTAAACAAAAAATGAGGTTTTCCCCCCTATCAAGAGATATGATTTTACATTTGATTTATCAAAAACTCAATTTGTACTAAAATTTAATTTTGTCCAAAAATGTCTAAGGCAAAAGCTGATCACTAAAGATAAAAACCATTTCAAAGATTTTTTAAATTTTGATTTTACGAGTGTTTTTAACAAAATAACTTTTTGTAGGTCCAACAGCAGCATTGATGGGGTTAGAATCTAACAAGGCTGACTCAGGGACGACGGAAAAGCAGTTTGGTGATGAGTCGGGGGAGCTGGACTTGGTAGGCATTGATGATGACGACATTGACCAGTACATCATGTCTGAGCATGACGCAAGCAACAAGGATAAGATCTGGATGGCGATGAACGCCGATTACTTACGAGAGCAGAAAGGTAACATGGATGTTTAAGCAAAGTATTACTCGTAACAATGATTGGTTTTTATCACAAAAATCACGTAGATTATGGAACTGTAAATTTGTCATTCAGGAAATTTTGTTTATACCTACATATTATAGGAATATGGACTTAAAAGGAAGTATTGGCTTGAAAAATATCTAACTGACAGATATACAAAGGAATCAGAGGTGATGTAATAGTATATTTTGTACCTAGGGCCGAAAATGAGGTTTTTACAGCCTGAGATGGTTTTTAAGTTCGAGATGAAGCCATGAACTTAAAACGATCGAGAGCAGCAAAACCATTTCGGTCCGTGGTACGAATGCTATTTTTCACCACACTATACCCTATTACCACTATTCACCACAATAATAATGCATATTGTAGTCAACACAACTACAACTTTAAGGTTATGTAAAGAAATTATTTGATGAATCAGCAAAAATAATAATAAATAGCTGCTAGGCAGCGGTGACAATAAAACAATTCTATTGCAATGCTGTGGACACTGGTTGTGTATTTAATATGCATTAATGTTTTAAGAAAGTAAGCGAGCAGCTGATTTTCCGAGGGATGTAAAAACCTGCTCGGGCCCCAAATGACGACAACAGCTGGCATGGACAGCAAATCGTAACTTTCAGCCTCCAATTAACGTTTGTAAATCAGCTAAAAACATCATAGTGTGGTGAAAACACTTTTATGAGCATTACTCTCAAGTATATAGCTGTTATGGCGATTTGTTTTTATGACGTTTGTATTACAATATTTTTGTTATATTATAGAAAAGGAAGAAAGACTCGAGAAAGAAAGAGAGGAAGGTAAGCCAGAAAAAAAGAAAAGAAAAGTTACGGGAAAGAAAAACAAGAATACTCTTGCTGCAAGTTCAGCTGGTAAGTACGTGGTTCTGTGTGTTATAAAAACAGTACCGGGGGACCGAGCCTTGTTTGGTTGTGGTTAATTGGGATTAATCGTTAAAACAATCATAAACAGGCATTTTATAATTAAAAAAAAAATGTTTATAGTAAACCATAGACAACACCAGATCGTACAACTCTATAATGTGAAAGTATGCAATTAAACAAAAATAAGATACAATTTTATGGTCTTGCTTAAGTTGAAGTGCTACTCGGACAGAAATTTTCTCCCAGAGAGATTGAAACCCGTTGTTCGCCTTTTACGCTTACCAATGACAGCAGATATAAATATGATTAAAAAAATCTTATTAGTTTCAATTCCTTTTGACAAGGATTTTTTGCTACTTCTCTCCTCAGATACGCTAAAGAAATTGAAATTCTGTGTCTGTTTTTTTCATTTGGCTTTAGTATACAGTAATAGGTGAGGGAAAGTCATAAAATAATTACAGCAAAGTCTCACAAACTCCATGTAATGTAGACCAGAAAATTGACGAGTTTGGGAAATGTCGACTTATTTGGGAAAAGGGCTACAAATCAAAATTAGACGTAATATGTTGTGTTTAATTTAACTTCTCGTGTATAGAACAAACTAAATTTCAAACACAATAAATGTTAAATACCTGAATTCAGCTTGTTAAAAATACATGACTTAGTTTATTCCAAACTTAACCTATAGTAATGCAAATGCAACTGACTGACTGGCTAAGTTTGTCTCAATGAAAAGGCCAGGGACGGAAGAGGTTTTCTAGGTTTGTTGGGCATGCAAGGAAGAGAAAAATTCCTCCGCAAGGACTGTGGAGAGGGCGCAATAATGTCTCTCAGGCTCATAGCACATCAACCACTGGCCTGCAATGAGGCCGGTTATCAGATGCCAAGATTGCTGGACTTTACTCAAGTAAGCAGATTCATTTGTAACACTGTAATTCAGTAACATATTTTTTTAGGTGAAGCTATTGAAAAAATGCTCCAAGAAAAAAAGATTTCTAGCAAAATAAACTACGATGTCTTAAAAAGTTTGAATGTAGAGGGCAGTATAAACCCTACACCAACTGAGCCTCAAAAGCTTCCGGAGCCTGAAATAATTCTTCCTCCTCCCAAAAGGTAAATCTCAAAGTGTGATTTAGATTCATTACAATTACTTGAAAAATGCAAATAGGCATCCAAGTAGGCTAATCTTTGTACACTGCTACACTCAGTTATTATGATTGTGTTAATTTAATTTATACTGCAACTATTGTACTTATGCATTTCAGAGTGTTATTTAGGGATATAACAAATTTTGAAGGTGTAAACAATCAGGGACATTATACCCAATAGAACTCCTTTGGCCATTGCCGAGGGTGTTAGCGGACTTGGATGTTCAAGGGGAATCAACAATATTTTTAATGAATGAAGTAGTTACAATTATATTCATGATCCAAATAAATAAAAAAACACAAAAAACTGATTTCCATTAATATTTCTTTTTTTGATCTTTTTTAAAACTACGGTAGAGACCCGGAAACTCGGCACTCGATAACCCGGCAGTCTGGATAAATCAGCCATCACCTGGCTCAGAAAATTAGCGATTTTTTTAGTTCGAGTTAAACATGGACTCGACCAGCTCAAGTCAAATCATTTGCAACTTTGTTCGGATTTGTTGTACTATATCTGATGACCTAATACTGACTTGTAATATAAATAATAAAAAGGCGGTTAAAAAGCTTAAAAATTGTATTGTTCTTATGTTTAACCCTAGTTTCCAATAACCCAGCATTTCACAAACTCGGCACCCTTCCAGTCCACATTACGCCGAGTTTGCGGGACTCTATTATTAATCAATTGTCTTTCTTGACATACCCATTCAGATTCTGTTATGTTTGCTGTGGAAAAATATGGACTAAATGAAATTTGAGACTCTGCAATTCTTGGAAATCTGTTTCCCTTCATAAATGTTGGCATCTTTTTGTAAGGGAATGGTCTAAACCTTGTTTTTGTTACTATCTAATGTATTTAAACCTCAAACATGCAATACTTAGGAAAAGGAACTTATTGTGTCCCCTCCCCTCACAGGTGGTAATAACTATTTAACCCCCCCCCCTCATGAATGGGGAGGGGGCCCATGTTTAGCCTTGGGTATTCATTATAGAGGATTATTCCAGGCCTGTAAACAGTTACCAGTTTGTGTATTACATAGTTTCTGAAGTAAAAGCAATGTGAGCCCATTGAGGAGATTTATGTGTGTGTTTAAACCAAAAGAGTTCAGCTAGCTTAAATCCATCCACTGAAAATAGCTGGATTCCTTCTTTTTGTGCATTAGTGTATCAAGTCTTAAATTCCTTTTTGTGTTGGATGTTCATATTGTTTAGTAATACATTCATTCCATGGTGACATGTCTTGTAGGCTTTAATTACAAGAGTGATACTAATACATGTCTAATGAATGATAAGTGAATTAGATGTAAGATACAAAAATATAACAATATTTTTTTGTGACACAGTGTCCTCTCATCAAAAAGATCTAAAGCAGTTCCCAAAGTGCAAAAGGTGAAAGCTGAAGTTAAGACTGAACCAATAAAGATTAAGGAACAACTCAAAGAAGAAATAGTAGCGCCTGTTCCAGTGATAAAGACAGACCAGTCAGCTACAGGTATGTGGAACATTTCCCAAAACATAGTTTAATTTAAACGGAGACTTAAACCACAGACCCACGGTTTTGTGAGGATAGTTTAGTTTTATTTGGTTTATTATTGTAAGCAAAGGTGTTGATAATACTGATATACCATTATTTTGTCTGCAATAATAGCTCAATTTGGACAATAATAACTTAAAATCAGATCAATGTAACCACTTTGCAGGTTAAGTGTAAGAAAGGGCCATGTGGCCCTAACTTTGCCTGTGGAAATAAAGGATTTTCCCTTCATTTCAAATGTAAACTTCTTAATCATATTTGCCTCGGTATTTTGAAGTACACCCACATAATTGATTTTGATTATTGTTGGAAACGGGAGCCCTGAGACAATTGTCAATTAGTTGGCTTGGCTAAACCAAAATAACCTGACTGAAGTTGTGAGGCTGTCTGCTGGCCACGTGCCAGACTGTGTGTGTGTAGTTAGTGTAGTACTACAGACATGATGAGATACTTGCCACTTGTTGTCTTAGGTCTCCTCATCATCTCACCTGGTATGATTTTAAATGCTTGTTTTGTACTTATATTTCAAATAATAGTTTTTATATAATTAGATTGGCCAATTAATTTGATATAATCTGTAGCAATTTGTGGTTCGATTTTGGTGATATTTGGCATGAATGTGAGGGGCAGGAGAATCTTGAATGAGGTCACGAACTAGCAAAATCGGGTAGAAGGGACAAGTGTTATAGAGCTCAAACATTTTAAAAAAATTGGGGTTTTTAGAATTTGTATTCTAAAAAATGAAAATAGTTGACTTTCATTGCACGCATCATGTGAAGCGCAAAAATAGTTTTTATATTGTACGCTTAAAGGTTGAGGTAAAAATTGAAAAAATTGTAAAAACTATAGGCCTACACTAAACTGTTGTAGAATACTGGTTATTTTGATTGATTTTGAGAATTATTTATTTTTTTTTCCTACTTGTTAAATTTTATATATTTCAAATAGGGAATAAATCTGGTGTTTAAGGAAATATTTGATGAAAAATCAAATAAAAATTTATGGAAATACGCTTAGTTGGCAGGTTTGCTGCGACAGATGTATTCTAATAGTTGATTCAACATGTTTATTTAACATGGTGCATTATTTAATAATTTAATAAACATGTTGCATTATTTAATAACTTAATAAACATGGTGCATGTTTATTTAATATTGTTTAGACATAGGCCTAATTATCTTATATATTTAAAAAAAAAATTGGTTTTTCTTTTCCGAGTTCGTTGAGCTCTTCTACACAACCGATTTTCATGATTGAGGTCTCAAATTGAAAGTATTCTCGAAAGATTTGCCATCAAGCATCGGCATATATTTATTTATAATCTCACTCGGCCTATACGTGAACGAAATTTGCTCTCCATGTATTTCTTATGGGAGTTAAATTTTGTTTTTCTTTACCGAGTTCGTTTGGCTCTTCTACCCGACCGATTTTCATGATTGAGGTCTCAAATTGAAAGTATGCACAAAGATTTGCCATCAAGCATTGGCATATATTCTTATATAATCCTACTTCGCTTATACTTAAATGAAATTTGCTCTCCATATATTTCTTTTGGGAGTTAATTTTTTTTTTCCGAGTTCGTTACGCAAAGATTTTACATCAAGTATCGGCATATACCTACTGTATTACTCGACCAAAAAACATAACTTACATAACTTGACATAACATAACTTGATTCATTTTCAAATTCTTACTTCATTTTCAGTTATAATTATATAATCCTACATATTTATGGCCTAAGAACCTTCAGTGAAATGCCAGCTTTCATTTAAGCTATGAGTTATTCAAATAGGACAAGTTTCAAGCAAAATAGGTGAACAATTAACATAAAAATTATTTTTCATATGGTTTTCTATGATTAAAAATCAATGGCTCCGATATTTGTCATGTTTTTTATATGTTTTAGACTCAAAATAATCAGTAAATTATAGGCATCAATTTGAGCTATTGATTGTTTAAATCAGTTAAGCTCAAGATACTGTATTACTCAATCAAAAATCATAAATTTGATTATTACTTGGATATTATATTTATTTTAACGCTGCGGAGCAGCATGATCATTCTATCATTCTATCATCATCATTCTATGATGTGAGCATTCTAGTTCACATTGAATATTGATCAGTTTTAAGACCAGAAATATTTCAAATAAATTTTGCAGCACAATAATTAGGTTTTTAAAAGTACCTGACAGCCCACTTTACAGCCTTATAATAAGCTTATATTTTTTAACAGTTATAGAAACACGTGTTTATGTTTGTTATAATGTGAAAGAACACATCCGGTTATTTGATCGTTTTGAGCAACTTTACCTTTTTAACCCTTTGCAGTCGAATGGAGCGTATAGGTCGCCGGACGCCATTTTTCCCGAATGGCAAACTATATTCACCGAAAAATGGAAAAAAAATTTGTCCTCAAAAGGTTAATGGTTTGAAATCTATATTAAGCTAAGAAAGTAAAACAAATATTTAAACTGTTTATATTTACAATAACGTAAGAAATATGTATTCAATTTTATTTATATAACCATGAAAAATACTACTGCTACTACTTTTGAGACTTGTTTATACTGAAGATTTACATTTTGTATTGTAACAATTCAGTATATTTTCACTGATATTTGTCCACAGAATAATTTAATTTTCACTATATGTTTTTCTTTTTATCTGTATGTCAATCCGTCAGTGGGGTAACAGAAGGGCCCGCAGGGCCCGCAATTGGGGGGGGGGGGGAGCTGAGGGGGCCCGCGAACCGGTGAGCGAGAAACAGTGAGCAGAGAGGCCCGTGAGACGAGTGGGGCCGAAAAGTTAGAGTTCATTCTTATTTAAATGTATTATCAATCATTCAATAATTGTATTGAACAAGTAATAACATTGATGTTATTAATAATATGTTGTTATCAGTTATCGTTTAATTTCGTTAGGCCTCTTCAGTGATAACGGACCAGGGTAACAAATTAAACGTGTTATAAAACGTGGGTCTTTGATTATTATGCAATCTTACTTTTGTCACTGAGAAATATTTTACTTCTCGGTTATTTCGTACACTGCTTATTTCGTCTGCAAACATTTTGTTACTTTGGAGCCTGGAGTCATGAACGTTGGCTGGGGCTTTTAATATTGTGTTATTTTACATTTTAGTTTTGTCTTAATATTGATTGTATTTTGTTAAATACAAAATACTGCTACTCTACTCACTGTGTTCGTTAGCCCATATCTTATTTTACCTCACAATTAACCAATACTAAAGACATTTGTTGTAAGACAAACGCTTACAACATAATAAGACACTTGAAATCCATACAAAGATAAAATAAAAAATGCAATAGGCTATTTTAGCCTGTGATAAAAGTACGTCAATCTATTAAATTAACCAGCTTTTAGTATATGAGTTAATTTTAACCAAAGATTAAACTAACCTAATAAATTAATACTTTCTCATCCTTCAGTCATATTTGGTTTAAAATTCGCACATAGTGGCGTCCCCATCTTAAATAATTGATTGATTGACTTTAATACTTTACTTTGAAATGGCAACCATACCAATGTAGGTATTTTAAGCCAAGAATTAATGGAGATGAGTGTAGGATGAGTGGCCCAACCTTTTAGTTTTGAAAGGGACTAAGGCCAACATATTCGTTAGACACAGATGTTAATTAATAGCCAATACAGCAAAAGGCAACTAAGGGGCCTAAGGGGGTTAATAGGGGAATTCGAGCCACATTTTTTGCCTTGTAATTAACAAATTAGTCAAATTGATATAATAAAAAAAAAATATATATATATACAAAAATATAATAAAAATTGATATTGTGTGATAGGCCTAAATTAAATGTAAAATTTTTAACCTCCTTGATATAAACATTCCGATAGACGGATGGAAAATAAGTTTTTTTTATTTGATTTCAAAACTATTTACAAACACTAATATTGATATAATGACGTAGTGATGTAACACTTTCATCAAACCACGACTGAAATACTTAGCACACCCTTTTATGGAACATAACCCATAATTTAATATTTTTTTCATAATTTATTTACCGCTCTTTTAATGATTAATCTGTTTCATCATTGTATCGGTGGTCCAAAAATAACTCTGGGGGGAGGGGGAGGGCGTTTGATTATGTTGTATCAGTAGTCTAAAAATAGCTCATAAGAGGGGGCCCAAAAAATAAGTTTGCAGGGGGGCCCGTAAACATTTGTTACGCCACTGCAATCCGTCTCCCTTTTCAAAAACCATCATGTGTAAAAATTTTCCAAGCAGACCAATAGGTAATTGATTCAATATAATGTAATATATAAAACTTTAAAATAACCTAATTATGTAAATATGTGATAGCCTTTTGTAACAAAATTGAATTAAGTTATTATTCTGTGTTCGCTCGTTAAAGCAGCTGATTAAAATTGTTTTTTATTTCTTTTTTGCATCGATATTATTTGTTTGTTATGTTCACAAAAAACATTTAGTCGACATCAGCACACTCAAACATTTCGAACATGAATCACTCTGAAAATCCAGACAGTAAACATTAAAACCAATGGTAAAACAACATCTAAACAAACATTCATATTATTATATATACAATTGCTCATAATACAACCTAAGAGTAGTAAATAGTCAATGGTAGTAGTCAATGATCAATGGTATTAATTGGACTGTTCTCTTTTGTAGTGTATTTTGTAATTTCTAGCTTACTGTAGATGGTTTGTCATAACCAAATGTCATTAGTCTTTCTTTATTTACTTTTACGTTGTTTTTTTAATTGGTAACCATCATAGCAACCCATAAAGCCAATGTTAAGTTAAAGGCCATTTTAGATTAGTTTTAATTTGTACAGACATTACCAAATTGAAATTTGTTTGTGTAATAACATGATGTTCACTGTTTGTCAAAATAACCCTGGAAAGTTTGGCTTTAATATGTTCAGCCGGTATTGAGTTATCTGATGACATAGTTAGTTTGCCTAAGTTCCGATCTCAAAGAGCTTTGCTCAATAAATGTATAGGTATATATATATATGTATGAATTTAAACAGATGGTGTTTTTGGCCTCTAGGGACCTCAAAACAAAAAGTAAACCTGTCCCGGGTCCGGGTCTTACCATGAGTACTATGGTAGTAGCTTATTCCTATATTATCCTACATGGGAAATTCACTAAATATTACCTAGATGGGAAATAAGCTAAAAATATAATTTTTTTACGTAATACTAAACAAAATGTAGTAATAAACATTATAAACACACATATGATTGGCATAATATAAACACAGTGATTATTTTATTGTAGTTAAATAAAAAGTTATTTTATTAGACTAGAGTCTAAGGTTTTAGCTGTTTATAAGCAATTTGCAATAACTCACTTTGCCGATATATTTAAATACTCTTTTTTTTGTCTGGTAACACAAATAACACTAAAGATCTTAGCCATTGATTATTGTAACTAAATATCCTGTATTACTCACAGTCGCAATCCATTGAAATTTGTCACTTTAATTTAAGTTATTTGAAAACTTGTAACCAAAACACAAACAGAACACTTTCAGGATCTGTCTCCAAACCTTTACTTTCAAGGTGGCTGATTGATAACGATCTCTTCTTGATGACTGTTGATAATTTTCCATCACCTGACCGAGCACAACAACTATGATATAACAATCCAGACATTGATGACATTGTGATATCAGTGGCAATATAAATTTTTACAGTCCAAAAGATTTTTTAAATATCCTTCATTTTGTAAATTAATATTTAAGAAACATGTTTCAACTATTATAATGGAGGACTCTCTTTAACACTGTCGAATCAATATTCAATAATTAATAATTCAAATCAAATAAAATCAAATATGCCTTTATTCATAATATGTACAATTTATGTACAATGAATGGTGTCAGATCTTATTTCTAAGAAATAAAAATAAGTACATTAAAATTAATCTATTTACAAGGATAATACAGAACACCTCTTTTTACCAACAAATTTTACCAGCAACGCCATTTAACTTATTTTATTTAAAAACTCATTAATTGAATAACAAGTGTTCTCAATCATGAATGCCTTTAAATTTTTATTGAATTTCTTAATGTTAGTCTCACTTTTCAAACTTTCGGGCAATCTATTAACCCTCCCAGTGTTACTTGACGAAAATTCGACAAGCAGCACACTTTGTGTAGTGTTACTTGTCGATTTTTCGACACGCAGACATCGTTTACGGCGAAGGCTCTATGACTGACTGAATCGGATTGAACTGGATCGAGTTAGGTATCGTTCTTTCCGTAATATTCTAAGCTTTCTCCAGAGGTCTGTCTCTAAGCGCTATTCATTTTAGTTCCGAAAATATTGTAGCAGACAGCTGACGTGCGTGTATTTGTAAACAGCTAGGTTCCCCCGGACCGATGACTGATGTGTTTTATTACGTTTATCATTGTTTTAGTGTTAAAAATCAAAAGTAGTGATATACGTGGTGCATTATAAGAAGATTTAAGTGGTTTTGAAGTGCTGGTTGATGATCCTGAAGAAGTAGGTAGTGATATTGATGTAAATTATCAGCCAGATTCCTAGCTATGGTTAGGCTATGCATTCTTAGCTAAACGCTATGTACTGAAATCAGTTTTTTGCCCATAACTTATTCATTTGCAAATATACTTCCTTATATTATTATATATTTGTAATCCTCATAAAATTTAGAACAAAGTGGCTATTTTCAAATATTTATAGGCCTATAATTTATACAATTTCATTGAGCGCGAACTTATTTTTTTTTTGAAAATTTTCGAAATTATATTTTTTTTACCTAAAAATTTTTTTTTTGAAAAAATGTTCCTTATGTTTTATATATAATATTGAAGCCCATGATTTTCCAAACAAAATGGTATATAGAACATTAGAATTAACATTGTTTTAAGCTTCTCAGATCCGTTTTAATAAAACCTTGCAAATGCGCCAAAAATAGGTGGACATTAAGGCCTAAACTATGGACACTTGGAGGGTTAAAGAATTTTGGCACCCTTATATGTGGTCTTTTTTTTAATTCTAATCTATGTGTTTCTAATTTTAAATCATTTTTGTGTCTAGTGTTATAAGTATGATTATGGCCAAGAAAACTAGTATTAGTCATGTTTTGTCTTACATACATAACACATTCATATATATATAAATCAAACACCGACAAAATTCCCAGTTCCCTAAACCTATCCTTTACATGAGCCTTGTACTTCAAACCTAGCATGATTCTTATACATTTCTTTTGGAGTTTCAATATCTTTTTTAAGTTTTTGTGAGTTGTTGCTCCGTATACACAAATGTTGTATGCCAAATGTGAGTGAACCAAGCTAAAATATATTACTTTTAAAGTGGCTAAATCACAAAATTTAGATAATCTTCTAAGGACATAAATTCCTGAATTCATTTTGCCTTTAACTTTGTTAATATGTTTATTCCAGTTTAAATTGCAATCCACAATTAAACCCAAAAATTTTGCATCCGTTACTTTGTGAAATAATGTTGTCATTTAATTTTATTTCTGTTGAAAACCCATTTTGGTTCTTATTTGTATTAAAATTTATAAAGTTTGTTTTATTAAAATTTATCTGTAAGTTTAGATTTGTCAAAAATGAAACTATGTTATTTAACTCTTCTTCTGCAGATCTTTTAATATGTTCATCGGTTGGTCCTGAAACTTTCAAATTTGAATCATCTGCATACAGAACTACTTTGTTGGCATTCTGATTAACCAATATATCATTAATTCCATTTATGTATATAATGAATAATAATGGGCCTAATATTGACCCCTGTGGGACTCCAAATTTTATGCACTGTGTTTTTGAATTTATTTTTGTTTGTTTTCCGCCAGTTGTAGAAGCTATTTCAACAAATTGTTGCCTATCGGTTAGATATGATCTGAACCAATCAAGTGCTTTGCCTTTAATACCAAACTGTGTCAAAATTTTAACCATGGTACCATGACAGACTCTATCAAATGCCTTTTGTAGGTCCATAAATAGTCCAATACATTTTTCACCCCTATCAATGGCATCAATAATGGACTCAATAAATTGAACAGTTGCTGTTTTGGTCGACTTTCCAGCCCTAAATCCATGTTGGTTGCCATTAATTAAGCAGTTACTTTCGAGAAAGTACATTAATCTAGTATAGACAGATTTTTCGTAAATTTTTGAAATTGTGGGTAAAATTGACAGTGGCCTGTAATTTGACGGATTTTTTGGACAATCAACTTAGCAAGACTTTGGACCAACTTAGAAAGAGACTTGTTCCCTTTAATTAACTTCATAAATAGCATATTATGCCAATATTAGGAGCCAGTTAGCTTCAAGGCTGTGATTAAATTTGAGGACTACATTTATAGTGCAAGAAAGAGGATAACTATCATACGAATACTAAAATTAAAGTTTTATTTAAACTCTGGAAATGTTTATATTCATTCTATTTTCAATAAAAAAGGTTTCCCTTTAATTTTTATAAATAGCCCTTTAATACCTTGTTTAGTTTATTTTGTTCACCATATTATAGGCAATAGCTCTGATATATTGGTTGGGAATTTTTACCTCGGTTTTTAATCAAGGTAAAATAAAACTTAAAATTAAATAGTTTCAATCATGTCAACAATTATACATGTTTTCCAGGAGAGTCTTCTGAAGCTGATCCGGATTTGGACATGGAAGAATACGAGGAAGAGGAGTTGGAGACTGTAGAACAAACGCTGTCTCTATCTCAGATGTTGAATAGACATCGGGCAGACGACAACTACTACGGCTACGATGACGACGACTACTGAGCGAGTCAGACTCTACTTGACTTGGACAGTCAAACTGTGAGATACATCCGGGTCCAACTACTACACCAAACACAAACTTGCTTTCATTATATTACATACTAGATTTTCTGTCCCAGCTCCACCTCGACCTCTGTAGTAGATGACCCGTAAGTCTTCAGGATATGACTATAGCTCAACACGAGCTGAAACCCAGATCATTCTCTACGGAGGAAAAGGCAGAGCTGGGACGGAAAATCTAGTATGTAATATCACAGCTCTGGTAGTTAATGACAGTGAATAAGTGGCTGGTATTGCAATATGAGCTAGCAAATCACCAATCACTTAAAACAAAGTAGTCATTGCTGTACTCACTAAGTAACACAAAGTACCCGGTGTAAAATATGCATTTTTTATTTTTTTGTTTTGTAATATGTTACAACACCTATGTATTTATTTATTGTGTATTTATTTATGTGATACTGTTGATTGTATGTAAACAAGGATCATAATTTTAATTTACTTTTTATACATATTTCTCACGTATCATTAGTTGATTAAGTAGTAGTATGCAATTTTCTCTGTATCTACTTTAAAAATTGTTTAGTGTTTTAAAACTGTTGGGATTATTATTTTAAATATAAGAAATTAATGTACACAGTATACATTTTATAATAATTATGTTTATACAATTATTTATAATATTTTTTATTCATTTTACAAGGTGTACAATGCAGTTGTTTACTTGCAATGTTGAACAAAGCAAGCATATAAATCCAATACTTTTGAAAAATGTAACCTAGAATTTATTTGAATACTGTACATTTAAAAGGAGGGATGAAACTTTCAGAAGGATCACATTCCATTTATAATTAACATTTAAATAAGCAGTATTGAAAATGTTATCATCAGAAAACCTTATTTTATGTAGTTGCTAAATCATATATTTTTTTTCAAATCACCTGTAAATCAAGTTGTAGTTTCTATTTGTAAATTTATTTTGTTGAATTTTTTGGTGAATTTTTTCCAAACTTTACATTGTCTCCACACAAAATATAGGCATAATAAATTGGGTTTTTGTAGTTGTTTAAGTCTACACAACAAATGTTCTTTTCCTACAGTCACCCGGCAAAGTTGGCTTCCTTGTACTGTTTATAGTACAAAAAGCTGCTAATTGCTGCATATTTATATATACTTTGTCGTAAGGTTTATACTTTGGCGCACATCAGGATTCCAACGAAACAACACAAAACAGCTTGGTTCTATTATGCACGTAATCCGTGTACGCTTGGAAATAGGTTGGCAACACTTAAAGATAATAATACTATGAGCAGCTGATTAACTATTATAATTACGATTTAACCTGTCATTTCATGTTTATAATTTCGGTATTTCTGAACTTTCTGGACTTTTCTTTTAAACGTTTTTAAAACATTCCTACGATCTTAATAAACAAGAAAATACCTTTAAAGCATTTTTTTTTTGGCGCAGAAACCACGTCAAATTACAAAAAACATACGGAACTATGTTCACAAGTCGCGGAGCACATTTCTTGCCGAGGAAAAATAGCGGAGTGATACGGACCGGGTACTACATTTGCTTTAAGGCAACTATTTGTGTTGCCAGCTGAACCTAACAACGTGTTGTATAGTGTTTGAAAGACAAATTATTTATATGCTTTATAGTGACTGTAGGAAAAATATAATGTGTAACACGAGTGCAAAAGGCCTTTGCTGTACTCGAGATCATTCCTCGTAAACATTGCTCTCGTGTGCAGCAGAGTGCCACTTTGCCCACTAGTTACACAAATAACTATTGTTTTGGCATTCTTAGCTTGGTCCACACCAAATAATCTATTGGAAAACATGTTTGACAATCAAGCTTCTTGGCATGGTTTGGTACAAAAATAATTAAATAGCTTGCCACAAAGATTGTTTGACAAACAAAATATTGATGTTTGGAAAAACATTATAATGTTTGTTCTTATTTGCCAAAAGAACAAAATCTCTCATTTCAGATTGAGCTAACCTAGTAGTAACGAAGAAGTAAAAATTGTGGCATGTACAAGTGTGAGTGGTGAATGAAATTGTGATGTACCGTACCATTGTCGGCTAGCTTATTAAGCTGCAGCGTTTGTTCAGTGTGGACCACCAGTTCTAGTCGGTCAATTGGAATGTCCAGAAATATGGTACAAAACAATGTAAAGACATAGGCAACCACTAAAAACTATATATAGGTCTATATTATAGCTTCTTAAACTAACCAGTAAATCAAGGAAGTTGTGATTTCTTTTTGTAAAATTATGTGGCAGTGTTTTGGTGCTCAACCTTGTTTCATCTTCTTCATGCTACATAAGCGTAATTAATTGGTTATTTATTATTGTTAAAGTGTATTGTACACACCAGTTGATCTCAAAAACCCTTTGGAATTAATTCACCCCTCACAACAAAGACTTGTTTGGCTATCCATTTTGTAGTATGTTATGCTCAATGTTATTAATCAACCCATAAGGCCCATGGTAGATTTCTAAATTTTCAATTTCTTTTGGACAGATACCTAAAGTCTGATTTGTACATTTTTAGATCTAGAAGCTATTTATGTCAGCTAATAAAATATAAAATATTTTGGGGAGGGATGTACCCCTCTCACCCCCCCCCTGGGACCGCCACTGTCACCTACCATTCAAAAGGTTGCCGGATTGATCTTGAGCAAAGTTAATAGCTTGGATGGTTCGAAACTGGGCCCAGCTGTCCCTGATCATTGGGCTTTTTATAGATGATCCTGACTAATGAAACAGCTGATCTTAGTCTGTTACAAAGCTGCACAGGGAGCGAGCTGGCGTAGTGGTCAGAGTGGGGGACTCAGTCCCTGAGGTCCCGGGTTTGATCCCCGCCAAGTCACCAATGGATTTTATCTAAGTGATAATGGCCCAACCCCTAGGTCTAGCCTGAAGTAATGTGAAAATGAAAAACAATCCCAGGCTCATACCTAGCGTCCCTAGGACCAAAAAAAAGTCTGTTACAAAGCTGCACAGATCATCACACTCCATTCTACGCCATACCACAATCATATTTGGGTTGGGTTTAAAATAAGTGGCGTCCCCATCACAATAATTGATAATTTATTATATTTGCTTCACAATCTTATCAAATTAAGGTATCCAAAAGCACAGTCTTTTGAAATATACACTTAAATTTTTTTATATATAAATTAATAATTGATGTGATTAATGATAAACGTTAAGAATTACAATTATATATATGTAATGAAACCTTTGAAAAATAAAGTTATATTGACATTGAAACTGTAATATTTTTGTTCTATTATACTGTACTTTTCTAATGTACTCAAATTTGTATAACTTGGTATGATTCAGTGTTAATGAATATAAGCTACCACTTTCTACAATTAGATCAAAGCTGAGTAAAGTTGTAGAGCATTTGGCTCACTGAGAGAACTGGCCAAACCATTGTGGGTATTGCATGATGGCCACTATTGTGTCTCGCAGTAGAAAACCTGTACTTCGTTAGATGGTGGTAACATTGTCCTGGACCAAGCACTGAGTTTGGAAAGCTTGGCTGAAAAAATCACAAACAATTAAAAGTAGTGAAACTGAAAAGAGCTGCACACGAACCAACTAAAAATGAACACAACACAAAGCATTGAAATGAAAAATGAAATATGTCAAGTTCTTATCAACATCAAGATTATTATATTCCTCCCACACTTTGTATGAAAATCTAAAAATAATTTAAATTTTTTGCCGTAATGCTTTTACTACAACAGTTTTTTTTTTTTATACCTAAATTGAAATACAATACCTTACTTAAAAAAATGATTACTCTTACATTCAGAATATTAATAGCAAATAAGGGTAATTGACAGGAAAACATCACCTGATCTTTGTATGTTTCTTAAAATATTCAACCAAGGAATAGACTAAGCCAACCAAGGAATTTTAGAACAGACCCAGCACACAAAGCAGCGCTACAAACCCAGAATATTCCAACGCACAGTAACAAATTAGGCCAAAAACCAATTAAAGTAATAAAAACTCCACACCAGATAAAACATTTCACAATACTTCAATAAAACATGGACAGACTCTCAAATAAAATTGAAAGATTAACACACCTGCTGGAGGACCTTAAACCTGACCTCCTTGTAGTGACTGAGCATGGCCTAAAGCAGGCAGAAATTCAGAATACCCATATTCCAGGATACACACTCACTGCAGAATATAGCAGAACCAACTATCAAAAAGGTGGTGTAGCTATTTATAAAAATGACAATGCTAATTACACCATTGTACCTACAGATATAACAAACCTCAGCATCGAACTACAGTGTGAGCTAATATCTGTGAAAATAAAACAGGACCGGAAAAACTTAAACGTTGTCGGCATCTACAGAACCCAAGGAAACCTAGACTCATCCTTGGATATCATCTCTGAAACCCTAGAAAAAACACACACATGGAAAAATCAAGTTATTCTCATAGGTGATATCAATATAGACTGCTTGGAGCCAAACCTTCAAATGACAAAACTTAACAAAGTTCTTCTTATAGCCACAATATGATACGGCTCCCCCTGCCTCCTACAAGAATAACACCTACTACAATAAGCTCAATTGACTGTGTCTGCACAAACCTAGGCAATGATGATATTCAGGTTGGCGTTCTCAATGCCGGACTCTCAGACCACACAGCACAGCTCTGCCCCAGAAGCTCAGAATCAAACCTTCTATTCTAGGAAATTCAACCAAAGGAATGTCATGAGCTTAAAAACTATTCTTGCCCAAGAAACCTGGGAAAAGTGTCTTCAATGAACATCAACCAGAGGGCGCCTATCGTAACTTCAGCAAGATTATTGCAGGAGCTATTAACCAAACCTGTCCAATGGTAAAGTCAAGGAAAAAAAACAGAAAACTTCCTATAGCAAACCATGAAGCTGAGGTACTAAAGCAAGAATTTCTACAGGCTCTGAACAAATACCTACTGAGTGGAACAGAAGAGGACAAAATTACAATGTCAAACAAGAAAAAAGATTATGACCTGAAACTGAAGACACTAAGACGACAGGCCACAGCAGTTCAAATACAGCAAGCTGATGATAAAACCAAAGCACTCTGGAGGGTCATCAACAGAGAAAGAAAGCCGACTCGAGACACATCAGAACAACCAATCACACTAGAAATAAATGGCCTCAAAACCAACAATCCTCAAAATGTTGCCAATCATCTTAATGAGTTCTTCGTTAACATAGCCAATGACACCCTTGCACAAAATCCCCAAAACCAAAATCAGCCAGCTGAAATCACAGAGGTACACTGTCAGACACCTGAGATGTCTCTTCAGTTAACAAATGAGCAGGAACTGACTCAAGTGATCAACACCCTAAAAATAAAACATCTGCTGGAGTAGATGATATATCCACCAGTCTACTAAAAAAATGTAAAGAAGAACTTGCTGGACCGTTAACGTACATCATCAACCGTTCTTTCCAAGAAGGAATCTTCCCAAGTGGGCTTAAAATTGCAAAGGTATACCCAAAATTCAAGAAAGGAAACCATCTGGACTCAAAGAACTACCGCCCAATTTCATTAATTTCCACATTCTCCAAAGTATTTGAAAAAATAGTTCTAAACAGACTTCTTCAACACCTATCATCCAATGAACTGCTCACACCACATCAACATGGATTTGTACAGGGAAAATCAACCACATCTGCCATAATAGCGCTAACTGAATATGTAATAGATAATCTAGAAGAAGGAAACATACCAACCACAATTTTACCTGATTTCAGCAAAGCATTTGACTGCTTAGATCATACACAACTGTGTAACAAGTTGAGAAAAATTGGAATTGGTGGGAAAACTGCAGAATGGTTCAAGAGCTATTTAACTGGAAGAAGTCAGATGGTTGAACTCAAATACACTGAAAAGGGATCTACACAAACAGTAAGATTAAAGTTATTACCTGTAGTAAGGGGTATTCCACAGGGTTCTGTGCTGGGCCCCATCCTTTTCATCTTGTTTACAAATGATCTCCCTCACTATTTGGCGATATGGCCTTGAAGTATGGGGAAACTCATCGGCAACCAACCTCCAACGTGTGCTTATCCACCAGAAAAAAGCAGTAAGAATATTAGCAGACATGGACAAGAGAGAAAGTCACAGACCGAAATTCCGTGAGCTAAAAATCCTAACGATTACAAGCCTGTACATCCTAGCTGTGGCTACTCACGCAAGCAGGCTACAGATCCAACGAGGTACAGCCACAGTGGATAGGCACAGCCATAACACCCGACAGGCTATGAATTACACACTTCCAGTCCATCATCTAACTCTTTTTGAAGAAAAGCCTTCCTACATGGGAGCGAAGTTCCTGAACCTGCTCCCAGAGACAATAAAAAGGCCCCAGCATAAGCAGCACCAGACAACGCTTATCGGCTTGGCTTGTGGAGAGACCGTTCTACACAGTTGAGGAGTTCATGAACTGGAGAACTTCACCGATGTTCCAGTGAGGATTAAACAATCCTCTCAATCTCTGTAATGACGCCTATTCTGTACTCTATGTTCAAGAATAAAGTATTCTGATTTCTGATAGAAATAGTATATTTCACTACTTGTCCCGAAAGTGACCCATTTCAGGACAAGATAGTGGTTTACAAACGAAGAGTGGGAACAATTAGGTACCTAGTCCTAGAATGGATCTTTGGTGATAAAATAATTTTAATATACAAATTAAACTAAGTCGTAAACAATACTCTTCATCACAATACAAAGAAACAAACTTAAAGCTTCTAGATTTAAAATAATAAAATATTTGACATATTTGTCCATAGTCTATAGTAGTTCTGTTTAAAGTTGTCATATCATAGGTTTGCAATTTATTGGAAATCCAGTTTATTGAAAAAAATTGAAAATATTGGTTGCCCACTAAATCCAAAATAATATCCAAAATGCTAAATCCCTTGCGTATATGAGTATTTAGTATGGTCTGGTATGTGACCAGCCTCAAGAGATATTTTTATGGTTCTCAAACACTGATTACTTTGTGTGGTTTATTAGGTACCTAACAGATGAAAAATAAATTTTGATGACAAAATAATTCACTGTTGGGCTAATAGCCCAGTCACTTTAGGTAAGAACCTAGACATGAAAGATGTAAAGCTGATTTTTTGCATGGTGATAGTATATAATAGGAAAGGTGTTTTCTGAAAGTTCCCTGAATTTCCCCCCCTTGCTTCCCCTTAAAACCCCCCCCTCCCCCGAAACACCAGGTTGAAAGTGTAGTGTTTAACTAAATCACCTATATCTTTTGATGTAACGAGCTATCAGCATAATTGTTTTTTCTTTGAATTCCCCGTTAAATTTACTTTAATAAAATAACCTTACACGTAGCATTATCTCTATTGGGTGGGATTTTATATGTAATACAAAATAAATATTATTTTATTTAAAACGTGAAGTTGTAGATTAAGCCAAACGTCGGTTTTGCAGTAGGTAGTACGTCAATGTAACAACACTTTTTACCTGTTTGATGAGCTTTCCAAAAATGTATAACAATATATATTTTAATTTAAATTGTTACCGAATGAAGCCATTTAAATCCATGCTTCAAACAGCCACAAAGCGCATTTAGTGTACCATTCTAACTTGTCCAGTAAATATCTATTCTATATACAGGGTTAGTAAAAAGTGTGGAGACCCCCTGTAAATTTTTTTAACGGCCCATACTAAAAAACTAAACTCGGCACACCTTTATGGCATGTTATGAAGTACTTTTGGGGAATAACCGCCACTTGATGATCATCCCCAAAATGGGGGATTTTGGGGGAAACTCTAAAATTTCAAATTTTAAGCCCCATTGAGTGACCCCTCATTTTGAAGGTCCTGGTAAAAGAAAGCCAACAACGCAAATTAGAGGTATCTACCTCAATCCAGTAAAACATGGCAGCCAATTGAAATTCTCAGAAGTTAAATTTAACTTACAGCTTTTCAAGTCTGGAGACCCCCTGTAAATTTTGTAACGGCTCACACTAGGAAAACTAAGCTCTACACACCTTTTTGGCATGTTATGAAGTACTTTTGAAGCCTAATAGCCACTTGGTTACCAAACCCAAAATGGGGGATTTTTGGGGGAAATTCAAAAACTTTAAATGATAAGCCCCATCGAGTGACCCCTCATTTTGAAGATCATAATAAAAGAAAACTAGCAAACTAGAGGTCTCTATCTTAACACAGTAAAATATGGCAGCCAATTTAATATTAAATTGCAAGTTATTTCTGATTTCTAAAGATTTCAATCAGCTTCCATTTTTTACTGGATTGAGATAGAAACCTCTAGTTTGCGTTGTTAGTTTTCTTTGACCAGGACCTTCAAAATGAGGGGCCACTCAATGGGGCTTAACATTTAAAATGTGGTTTTTAAAGGGTTGTTTGAGTTTCCCCCAAAATCCCCCATTTTGGGGATGTACACCAAGTGGTGGTTATGCCCAAAAAGTACTTCATAACATGCCATAAAGGTGTGCCCAGTTTATTTTTTCTAGTATGGGCCGTTAAAAAAATA